TATGACGCCGTGGCCGGGTCCTTTCGAATCAGAGGCGCCGCCCCCTTCTCCTCTTGCCGCTCGGGTGGCGCGGGCCCTGTAGGGAGCACGTGAAACGGAGTGCTGCGCGCAGGCGTCCGTCCGAACGTTCGGGCGTTAGCATTGCCGTTTGGCAAGACCCAAGATTTGAAAGTTACCTTCACTAGAGCCCTCTAGACAAAGGACCCTTTTTGCATTTCAAGCAATTTATTTTTATTGAACCAGATATTCCGTTATTTCACATTTTCACTGGCTACTTTTCTCGCCCTCTATAGAAATCAAATCATTAGTATCGGTCATCCGTTGATTTAGTCCAGTGTGGTACCTTTTCATCTTTGCCTCGTGTTCACTCTTTTCAGTCTTAGTGTTTGCCTACTTACAATCGGATAATCCGCTACATCCTCATGCTTCATATGCCAAAGCTCCTTTACCTTCTTCTCCATAAAAGGTGCGCGCACACGTCGTACACATGGCTAAAGCACTAAACATTTGCACAAATAGCATTTTTTTTCCTCATCCATCTGACCATCTCTAATTAATGACACTCATCGGATTACCCTGCGTTTGGATTGGTTTGTGCTTATATACAATCTGGAACGAACCAAATTGAAGTTGCAATGTGTTTCTATAGTTTGACCATGATGCTCACATTTAGAAGTCCTCTATAAAAATTTAAGTAGATATTCTCTCTGTTTCAACTTTCAAGTTATAGTTACTTTTGATTTTGTCATAAGTCAAACCTCATTAAAAATACACCAATATCTTTATTATCATTTTTCTATACATTATTTACCCATAAAATGTGTTTTGACAGGTTTATCTGAACTTGTAAATAACAATATGTTTTTTCCTAAAAACTTTTTTTTGATGGGTCAAGGGGGGGAAGAAGTCCCCACCTGAATATATTGCAATGAAGAGCTAATAAAAAATTACCGCTCAAACAGGATATAACAGAGAACGCACACATTCAACATAACACCAATAACAACACGCGCGAGACAGAACATATGACAACCACAAACATAGAAAGGGGAACAAAGAACTCCCATGATAAGCATGTAGTTGTTCACCAACTAACACCACCACCACCGGCTGAACTCCGACGACCTCCACTCCAACGGCGACTGTGAAGCTTTGAGCCAAATGACAGACGACAATCATGACTATAGTGTCTTTAGAGCACATTCAGTAACCCAGTTGACGCCCGCCAACACCCATTAAGGGAAAAACCACAATGGAGGGAGGGCCGGCAAAAGGGGCACGAGGAGATCCAAGAGAGGGGATCATGGTCTCGTTAGTGACATTTGATGAGATAAGGCAATCAAGGATCATGAAGAATGACAAAGCTAGGACACTGGCAACATAGTTTGCTGGTTAGAACTTATGCAAAATCATTAGAGTGTGGGATTGGTCAAAGCAAGAAAAAAATCTGACTCGAAACAAAGCCAAAGTGGCTATAATCTGAAACTGAAGAATAAAGCGTCATTAAAACGTGCTTCTTCTCCTTTAATTCCACAAAGTATATGTTTTCGTGTCTAATATTAATTAATTTCACGCTCATATTTTTGTAGGTGTAAAAAAAAGTAACTCGTATCTCTGCGCGTTGCGGGCATATATGTGGTCCGACACAACCACTCCTCGCTCGGTCGCACCGGACCCAAGTCCGACCCATCACCCTGAAGCCCAACCACAGCAGAACCGTCCGATCCCAGATCCAACAGACGAAACCCGCCATCCTCGAAGCCCTAGCGCCGCAACCCTATATAATCCTCGCCCCTCTCGCGCGCTGCGCTCCCATTTCCCCAACCTCCCCAAACCCTACCGGCGGCGCAGCAGCATCACCACCACCCGAAGATGGTGAAGTTCCTCAAGCCCGGCAAGGCCGTGATCCTCCTCCAGGGCCGGTTCGCCGGCCGGAAGGCGGTGATCGTGCGCGTGTTCGAGGAGGGCACCCGCGACCGCCCCTACGGGCACTGCCTCGTCGCCGGCCTCGCCAAGTACCCCAAGAAGGTGATCCGCAAGGACTCCGCCAAGAAGACGGCCAAGAAGTCCCGCGTCAAGTGCTTCATCAAGCTCGTCAACTTCACCCACCTCATGCCCACCCGCTACACCCTCGACGTCGACTTCAAGGACGTCGCCTCGGGCGGGCCCGACGCGCTCTCCACCCGGGACAAGAAGGTCGAGGCCTGCAAGACCGCCAAGTACCGCCTCGAGGAGAGGTTCAAGAGCGGCAAGAACAGGTGGTTCTTTACCAAGCTCCGCTTCTAGATGCCGGGGCGTCCCGCATAGTGTCTGCTTTAGTTGTCAATTTACTGTATTGGAAACCCTTTAAGCTATCTCTGTTTTGCTATTGCCATGAAGGCTTCGTGCTTGGTATGGATCTCGGAGAAGATTTTGTTAAAAATATGTCGATGATGTGTTAAATGATGCCAAAGGATACATCTGGTTGAAATTTTGTTCGGAATCACTGCTTGTGATGTGCTGTTAATCTTTTGTGTTGTTAGTCTTGCGGGTCTCAGATTTTGTTGATGCATCTTATAGGTCTCCATCACTGAATGCTCCTTGGTTTACATGTGAGTGATAGCTGATGTGGTTTACAGCCCTGTAATATGGATAGTGGAAGATGGAAATGCATATTTCTAGCTGCAGGGCCTTAATCATTGAGTAATTAAGACTTAAAATATGTTGATGCATGATGCATCAAAAGGACTATGTTTTCCTGGATAGTTACTCTGAGTTTGTTGCTGCCTTGGCTGGTACCTGCTTAGTATTCATAAAACAATTCAAACAGTCGTTTCATTGGTGGCGAAATCATATAGATATAGTTATGCACTTGGATGGATTGTTGGCACTGATTTGAAGACTGGTAAGTGGTAATTGCTTTGATTAGTAATTCTCTCTTTGGTCTAAGCTGTGTGGAGCATACTAATTACCTATGCACTAGTCATACGGTGCACCATTCAATCCCCAAACCAGGAAATATACAACGTTTCGGCACTTTACATAATACCATCAGAACATGGCCATGTGTTGAACCGGTGTTCTAGTTCTTGTCGTTTGCATTGCTTTAGTTTGTTTTTATACTCATTTCAGCACTGAGCTTAACACCATCAGTTTTTTTTTTATGTTGTGCTTATTTGGGTTCTAATTCCATTCATTCACAAGTCGCAACATTACCAACCTGTGATAAGCCAACAGCAAATTAGTGATGCCAGTTGTGCATTGTGCTACTCTAGTGGCAAAGCAAACCTAAAGATTAGGTGTTTATGTTTGTAAATCATATGTATTCATGAAATTGGTACTGGCAATGGTATGTTTCCTGCCTATTTTTTTTACTTCTGATTAATTCGCAGTAACACTGTCGATTTAGGTCAGATCATAATTGATGCACTGTTACCATTATTCTTGGGTCCTAAAGATTAAATATTTTCATGAGTGTAAACCATTAATAGATCGAATATGGAGATTGGGTGGACCATGTAATTTTCTTTTGATTCTTCAAATAAGTTTCAAATGAGGCCTTTAATAATACTTAAAGCAATAAAATATTTGCATCTTGTTGGTGTGAGACTACTTTACATTGCCAAGTTCGGTTTGCTATGACTATACGAGACAACTGGATTACAGATAATGGTGCTTCATGTCCCATCCCATGTACATTTTATAGATGATCAATTGTTTGTAGTGCATCAGCCATCTACATTTTATAGATGATCAATAGTTTGTATTGCATCAGCCATCTACATTTTATAGATGATCAATAGTTTGTATTGCATCAGCCATCGTGCCGTGTAATTGGGCTTACAGCTTGCCCTTGCCCTTGTTTTGGGTATTATGGATGCTTCTATGTTCTATCTATTCTGCTGGTGTATAACCATAACTCTGTCTATTGCTTATTTGCATCCTTCGATTGGTGGTTGTATCCTTGCCTCTTTGCAAATGCTCTTGCTGTTACCTGTGACTCGTCATTTATAAACTCGTAATTGTGACCTGTCGTGCTTCTATCCAGTGCATTTGCGAGTTTGCGACTTGTCAGTTGGAATACTCCACTACTGAATGTCTGAGGTATCAGGCCGCTGTTTTCCCTGCTTGAAGAGCTGCACTTGTTGAAATTGTCTGCGTCAAGTTACTAAAAAGGTGCTGGTTTGCTGATCTCGTCGGACGTCGGGGGCTCTAGCTTTCTTCTCCCCAGCAACTTCTTTGCATCAATCAAACGCACAACTAACCACGAAGCCATCGACTGGGCCTTGGGTACTGCGATTAGTCTCCTGTGAATCTCCAATGCACGCTACGCTCCGGGCTTTCATCAGTCTCGTCTCCTCTGGCTGCAGAAGCAGAACTGCTGAAGTGCGATTAGAGAGAATTTCTGCCAGGATTCATTTACGTGCGATTGTTGATACTGATTCCCAAGTTCCTCAAGCCCGACTTTTGTTACTGCAATGTTTGCAAGGCTGATTCACAGGTGCACAGATCGGCTTTCCCAGTTGAAGGAGAGCTGTGTGTCACCGGCCTTCTTGACTTGATAGTCAGCAGCTTTCGAAGTTTCCATAACATAGGAACGGATTTTCGCATAAAACATTGATAACATGAGGAAAGTAAGGAGCCATAAGCATAATAAGAGTTGCACAAGAGTAATGAAAACACTGGAAATGACAGAGAAAAACACTGGGAACTGCTTACAAAGGGATGCAATTTGTCTAAACGTTGCTGCTTGTTTGTCTATATTGTACATCATGATGGATCTCACAATAGCCTATCAGATCGAACCATAACACCAGAACTAAAGTAAGATACAGAAGCAGCAAAGGCTCCGGACAACCCACAAAGGCCAGCCCTGCCCTTTTTTTTCTCTAGTCCTTGTTGTACATGCATTACAGGTTACTCTAAAACAGGAAAAAACGAAGCATCTAGGTACTCCTTGACATTATTCCTTGGATTAAATTCTAGGTTTACAATGTTTCGCCTTCTGGTTTCTGGCCACTCTAGATCTTCTGCTTGAGCACCTGGCGGAGCTGGACCTTCTGGCTCTCCATCCGTGCTTCCATGAGCTTTGCCTTCAAGCTGTGCTTCTGGGACGTCCGCGGGTACTCTATACAGCCCTTGAAGCCCCGGTTGAATTGAATGTTCATCGAGTCTGGCGAGCTCCACTGCTCGACGCTCGGTGGACTGAGTCCTATTTCTTGGATGCCACTTTCAACAGTGGAATAAGTCCCAACTGAGAGCCGTACATTGGATGATCTTGCATTTACCGTTTCAACTGCATCTTTCTTGCATATCTCACTGTTCTTTGGGCGGGATGATTTCCAGAGCTTTGAAATGGCTGATTCTTTCTTCTTGGGTTGGTTCATGTTTGTCAGGTAGCCATCAGCTAAGTCATCTTTCAGCTTCTCATTCTCCCTATACTCGAAACCATTCCTGCTCTTCCAAGAAATGCTTCCGTCGCAGATCTTGTTGCTGACTGAAGGTTCGCTTCCGTCGGGTGAACCGCTTGAACCCTGCATATCTTCATGGCTTATTGTCTCCCAGCTGCTGCTATCTTCAGTGTCGCTTTCATCTTTAGGGCTTTTGTTTGAGTATGTCTTGGCTTTCTTTTCAAGGAATATATTGGTCATTGGGCTAGCCTCTTGAATTTCTGATTCACATTTGGCAGAGCTATTCTTGTAGCATGGCTCAATCTCCTTGATGACAGGCTCCTCACTTGGACGCAGCTCTTCAAAAATGGAAAATATGTCTTCTGATGCTGCTGGTGGCTCATATCTGAATTCAGCATCTTGGGCTCTGACTGACTTGATTGCCTGTATTATGTTCTCTGCTTCCTCTACTACTGTTATGTTTCCATTTGCAGTACTGCATGCAGCAATAAAAGCCTCAACATCCTGTTGCAGTTTGCTCAGCTGTGTGTATTTTGCGTCTAGAGTAAGTTTTGCATCAACAAGCTTCATCTGCACCCGCTTCTTCACGCCACACCTCAGCCATCTGCAGCATCTTCCGCCTCCTCGTCTACCTCCTCCCGCAACCTCAGAGAGTCCTGTTTCAAGGCCTCAATCTCAGCTTTGTCTTCCTCCACCTCTCTTGCTAGCTCGTTGCACACCTCCTCAGTGAGCTCACGTGCCTTCCTCTCTGTATCATACTCTAGTAACAGCTGTTTTGCTGACATCTTGGCCTCCTTCAACTCATTAACGAGTTTCAAGTTAATCATCTCCAGACGCCTCCGGTTTTTCTTCTCATGGTCAAGGTCTGCCTTCATATCTTCGAGAATAGCACGCACCTTTTCATGCTCTCTGTTCCTCCAAGCTGCTTTCTCCTCTGCAAGTTTCTTGAACAAGTGATCAAGCTTCTTCTTAGCTGATCGCCGCTCAGTTTCCAGCTCACTTATCCTATCACGTGCTTGCTGGAGCTCCATCTGGAGATTAGCAACATACGCTGTATCTTGCTGCTCATTAAGAAGATTTAGCTGGCTGGCTATCAGATACGCATCATGTGATTCCATTCCCTTTATGTCCCCAGGCTCCCATTTTGTTGCCTTCTCCATGGTAGTGACAGGCAGCATAGCAGAAGTAGCATGAAGTTGTACCTGCAGAATTTGTTGTGTCAATGATCTTACAGGCTGATACAAGTAAAAGCAGTTAATGAATGTCTTGTTGGTTCTTTCCCTCACCTTGTGGAGCTCTCCACTCTTCCGCTCCAAAACAGATATGGGGCTTGAAACCTCATTCTTCAAACTCTGGTGATGACCTGAAGTGTTCTGCTTCAGAAGCTGGACTTGTAGATGCCTTGGGATATGCTGTCATATAGACACAGTTCAGAATAGGACACAAATTTATTTATTTATTTATTTTTTCAATAAAGAAAAATAAGACACAAAAGGAATTAATAACATTTTATATTAAAATTTACTTGCACGACTGTTCCATGATTTAAGCATATCTATCCAGAAAGTAGCACTGGATCTGTACATGTTCATGTCACTATTTCGTACTATGACTAGAAAGGAACATCACATACATACTACGTTTAACAAAAAAAAAAGTGAATTTCCGGTAGGCAGTTTCAAAGAACAAGGAGAATCTATAGGGGCCCAAACAATCATCACATGGAGACCCCTATCAAACCGAATCATATACAGAGAACCTACATATATTGCGTCGGTAACATCGTCACGTTTGTTGGCTAGCATTTTCATCCCAACCTAAGGGCTAAAGCTTCAGAATTCAAAACCATTTCCTGGAAGGGCACTAGGATCGTCTCCAATAGCATGAGACAAGCAACTAAACAGGACCACGTGCTCCTGAACCCAGTGTTTGTTGCTGCACGGCACAAGAGCTGAGAGCCATTTTGCCCGATTCAGAAGCTCACACCCTGACAAACCTTTCACGATCCAAATTCCAAGCTCCACTCTTCATTCTTCTTTACACAGGACGCAGCAACTCGGTAAACTGAAGGTGCACACCCGCACTGATGGCCAGGCCAGGCCAACCAATCACCCACAAAAGGCTAAAACGCACGGGCAGCGCATTTGTGATTGCACGGGCAGGGGCACGGAGACTCCGAGAGGATCCGATGATTGGGGCCCATACATGTTCAGGAATCACATGAGGAGATCTGGGCACAGGAAGACGCTGCGCTTGTTGCCCTGTTGGATGGATGGGTAAAATTCATGGGAAGAGGATCACGGCCACCGTACTGTGCCTGCTGCACGGCCGCCTTCATAAATGGCCATGCTTCAGGGCAACGCATCTAACGTCCAGGCGAGTACTTAAATGCGTCGGCACGGCAATGCGCAGTGTGTGTTAGTGCTGAGGATTCAATGAGGAGACTTGGTTCGTACTAAGATTTGACTACGCTAATCGAGTTTAGGCGAATCTAGCAGCTCAAATTAGCAAACATGCGAAGGGTAATGATGGTGTCAGCTCAAAACAGTGCGAGAGATCTATGTCCTAGAGCACCAAGCTAGGCATGTTTTGACGACAAATCTCAACATTTGTGCTAAAAATGTCGTATAAATAGTAGGGGAAAACATGGTAAAAAAAGCCTTTTAGAGCGCCCATTTTTATTCACTAAACACCAAAACGATACTCTAGTCTAAAAATAAAAATGCCATTATAGGAGAAGCTAATGTACCAAGAGCTCGCACACAAAGCACGCGCCCAGCGCCTCCTATTGGCCGCATCTCAACATCAAGCCGAAAACGAAACAAACAAGCTAGTACTCCTAGCTGGGAAGCAGCACAGCATGAACATACCTCGACACCCACGCGGACCCTGCTCTCGCCACCGCCGCCCCCGGCCACGGCCTCCGGCGGGCGCAGCCGCCAGACCCCGGCCGCGAGCCTCCGCACCGACACCTCCCTCGCCTTGGTCTCCCGCGCGGCGTCCCGCGCTTCGTCAGCGGCGCCAGCCCCCTTCCTCCCCTCCCCGCGCCCGCCGCCCACGTCCCATTTCAGCAGCGGCGTCGCGGGCCCGCTCCGCCGCCCGCCGCCGGGCGCGCCGGTCGGCGCCTTAACCGGCCGACGCCTCAGGCGGCGCGGCGTCCGGAGAGACGGCGCCGCAGCCGGGGCAACGCACGAGGAGGCGGCGGCGGCGGCGGCGGAGCGGTTCCTGGAGCTCATCTCCGGCTGTGGCTCGGGACGGCCCGCGCCGGCGGCAGCATCGGGTGGGGAGCAGAGCACAGCAGGCGGATGCGCAGAGCCGCCGCGTGCGGGCGACGCACGGCGCACGCGGAGCGGTGTGGGAACGCAGGCAGGGCAGCGTGGAGGGCTCCGGGGAGAGGCAGAGGCTAGACCGCTAGAGAGACGTTGGGGGTGGCGTTGGGAAATGGAAATGGGAGCGCGAGCTAGCCAAGTGGGGGGGAGAAGTAGGACACATGGAGTGGGTGTTTTTGTGTGGGGGCGTGTCCGTGCCGATGCCGAGGAGGACGGATTTGGGCCTGGCCTAGGGGCGATTTGGGGATTTCGTCCCGGGCTTCTGTCCGGTACAGGCGGTAGTACTGTGTGATACAGCATGATCAATGTGGCCGTGCATTTGGGTCTCGTGATTTTGCAGACGCACAAGTTCTGCACTGCACCGCTGCTTCCGTTCTGCAGCTGCACGATGGAAAAGAAAGTCCTGGTTTACGGTAGGTTTGCCATCATTCGGTGGGAGGGTTTACGGTTTATATTTGAACAAAAAGTAAAGCGTAAATAAGTATGAAAATTCGTAAATAAGTACCACCACCAACCATGATGGTAATGCGTTCTTTCTTTACATTGATCGAATGATCGGCGTGGTATTAGGCCGCGTTTAGTTCATCAGCCGATTCGGCGCCGCCCAAAAAAAGAGGTGTACTGTAGCTACAGTACTGTTTTGTTTTTATTTGGTAATAATTGTCCAATCGTTAACTAGTTAGGCTCAAAACGTTCGTCTCACAGAGTACAACCAAACTGTGTAATTAGTTTTTGATTTCGTTAACATTTAGTACTCCATGCATGTACCACAAGTTTGATGTAACGGAAAATCTTATTTTTACATAGTGTCAAATTCTGGAAATAAGGAGAACTAAACATGGCCTGCTTCTCCTCTCTGTCGGTGGAAATTTCATGATTCGACAGATCGGGGTACGTCAGACAATTAACCACGTCAGTATACTGTCGAGCGACCATTCACCCAGGTTGGTGGGTCCCTCCATCTCATGGCGCTTCCAGTAACAACAAATCCCGACACGAGCCACAGTCCCGTCCGAAATGGAACAGCAGCCGCTCTGCCTGCTCCCCCACGTTCCGTTGAATCCGTCCAGCCCGCCATGAGCCCATGACGCTGCTCTCCTGTCCAGATCCGAACGCGCACCACGCCGGGGCGGCGGGGCGTCTCCAGGCTCCAGCACCACTGCACCAGCACGTGGCCGTCCGCCGCACGGGCGCCGCGCTGCCCGGTGTTTGGGCGCGGGCAGGAAGGAAGGCATCCGAGGGCGGAGCACGAGGCGGAAGCGCGACGTACGCCACGTCGGACTCAGCAGGTGGGGGCGCAGCGCAGGGGCCGACGGGACCCACGTGACCTAGTGGCCTGGTGCGTGGTGCCGTCGCCATCCGCGGTCCGCCGTGGTGGCCGCGGGAATATAGAATGGTGGCGGGAAGGCGACGACACCGCCGTGCGCCGTGCAGAGCCTCTCTGACGGTGCGGTGCAGGGGACGAGGACGATGCCGCATGGGGCACTGTAAATTTTGCTGCACCGGCGCTGTGATCCCTGCGATGGAACAGTCGGGGCCCGTGCGTGCGGTTCAAATTTTAAACCGGCTGGCGCAAAGCTAACAATTTAGCACCACGCCCTATGTTAAAATCGGTGCTTATCCGTAATGAGGAGTTCAGGTACACCGGCAGTAGATTAATTTTCACTGAGATCGTATATGTATGAGCTCCTGATGCAATGCAAGAAAGGCGGGTCGTTGTAATTGTAAATAACTAGTGGAATGCACGCGCCCCCGCGCGCGAGAGCAAAGAAGTCTAGTTGGGTTTTTTTTATAGACATAAGCTGTGCTAGAGTGACGTAGGAAACTTCGTAATAGAACCGCACATGTCTATGTATGGCCTACTGATCTAAAGTACTATATAATATAAATTGAGCATAGCGTAAAATTATCAATCTGTAAATATTTGTCACATACAGTCTGTGAAACTGGAATTGAAAAATAGCAGCAAACAGAGGGAGGTAGATGATACATGGCCTGCTTAATATTGCTATGAGGATCAAAGAGCAATGGATGGTAAAATAGAATAAAACAGGACGAGGAATGTAGCTGAAAGAGTACTTCCTATGGATTTAAAAAGTACTTCCTATAAATTTATTTTAGACATGTTTCATCTAAAAAGAATGTATTGGTTTTACTGGTCCAGATAAATTTTAGTAAATACAATAGCTTAACATGTAGAAGAAATTATATGTGTTTTGGATTGGCAATGCTTGATAGAATCTTTTTTTCCTCCATCAACAAACAAGATATCCTACATAGAGAAAAACAGCAACAGACCAGCATATATGAGAGAAAGCACAAAAATTGATCAGCAACTGACCACCAAATGGACAAATGTAGCAGTAGCTGGTGCGAGCTTCTAAAGCAGTAGAAGGGTTATAGATGATATTTTTTGTTTTGAGCTAAGGGTTGTAAGTAAAATTGATTAAAGACGTGGCATTGGCTTATCTGTTGGGTAATAGCTTTGACCTTCGAATAATTTCCTACATGGTGCATCTGTATGTTGTCCTGATCTGTATTTAGCTAGAGTTAAAATCTGAGATGAGCTGAATGGGAGAGCGCCACCGCCGCCGCGCGCGTCGACTGTAACTGACTGCTGATCAGCGCACCAAAACATTAGTTCGAGCAATTTTCACTTACAATTCAGCATAGGAATCTAGAAGAAAATAGCTATATAAATGCCTGTGTAAAAAAAATAAGACATGCATAAAGGTTCAGGAGGTACATTAGATAAAATAAAAAGATCATACAGAGGGCTACGCTATATCTATCTGTGTTAACATTATGGGTGTTTTGTGTGAATGGCTAAATGGTTTATTTAATCTATGAAGCAAACAATAGAGACCGGATAATCATATGTCTTTGTTTAGTCATGGGTATTCTGGTAAATAGCTGTAGAAGAACAAAAAGAGTAACACATTTCATATCTTGGCTGAAGTCACAAATTCGTAAGCAAGTCATGAAAATGCAGAGAATTATATGGTGATCCATAAATATTTAAAGTCTCAACAGTTAATCATAGGTATATACTTAAGAGAAATGAAACAATCCGACCACAAGATGCAAAACATTGCATTCAAAATATTCTAATTTTTATTGGCAGGTTAGGCAGTGGCTCACTATTTTGGCAAACCTGTTGCACAAGAAAGCGCTTGTTCGACGTCTTCATTGTTTATGAATGATGTCTACGCTGTACATTATTCTTTCTAACATTACGAGCGGGAGATATTAGTGCCTGCAATATTAGGCTCTCAGTTAATAATATGGTGCTCTAGGATTTTGTGGCTTGCCAAAAGTGCTCTACAAATATTAAGAAAGATTTAGAAGCATTAAAATATGGTCATATATTTTGAAGCTGATCTTGTAATACCCAAGGAAATAAATGACTATTTCACAGTTATGAAGCTCTTAACCTATCAGAAAGCCTCGTCTGCATCACAAGACAGGTATAATATGAGAGCATTATCTTATATATATTGACTAAAATAAGAAAGAAGCACTATGTTTTTAAATTTTGCAAAAAAAAATTGGGATGAAGAAACATTGTTGGCTTCTTATTTTTTCTACATCATCACTAATCCACAAGCAGATCATATATGGCAAGATGCAGCACTTGATTACTCGAGGAGGTGCCTACTAGGCAGTGCATCCACGTATACATTTCATCAAAAATCTTGAAGGCACTCACCTAAATATTCAGGGTAAAGGAGGCACCGCTAATGAATCAGCACAGTAATGGACGCATTCAACATGTACTTTGGTTATGTTTGAATCATAAACTGTTTGTGATCTTTATTGAAACGAACAAAGTATAAATTGGAAAGCACAGAGAAGAAAACCATCTTACAAAACACATACTCTCTCCATACATAAAACCAGAATACATAGGTAATCTAAGAGTAAGCTAACAATGGCACCATGTCGGATAAAAACAAAAAATGAGTAGATAATCTAAGAGGAAATTAACAATGGCACAGACAATAGTATTAAACATATATTTCAGGAGACATGAAGTCACTAACCAATCCTAGGAGCCCCTAGGGCGCGAAGCATCCACAGAAATTCAGATCGAGATAATCAAATTGAGACATGTAAAGACCAACAACTATAAACAATCTGATGCCAGACACACATCAGCAGATACCACATAGGAAATCTAAAAGAATAAGAACATAGAGCAATCGAAAGAAAGGACCAGGTCACCTCGGATTTTGCTAGGCTGCACGAACAGATTTCTAGAAAGAACCCCTTGTCTTCCTTGACCACCTTGCATAATATAAGCATCAGCAACCAGCAAAGGAAACAGGAAACCTACAAATTCTCATGAATGTAGAAACTAAGAGAAGAACTGAAGCACGGACAACAGGCTCTGGAGACGAACGGCGCAGCACAGATGCGAGGGACGGTCGAAGCTTATATCAATCTCTGAAAGATAAACTTGTTTGTAGCACACAGTAAAAGGTTAAAAGCAGCAAGGTTCATGGTTTTGGCTGTAGTTGTAGCCTACTAAACAAATATCAAGCACCAGAGTAATTACCGAAGGTACATCATATGTGATATGTCCAGCACCAACGCCAAAAACTGGGAGACCTCTCAATGAGAGAGACGAAGGCAAAGAAAAAATTATCGAAACAAAGATAGAACTATAAGGGAATCTTCGGTAGCTTTCTGATTAGCATAAAATCTCAGCCATAACCAATTTAGTGCAAAGATCAAATCTAGATGATCGACAGACACCAGTGCAAAGGGCTGTAAAAACAGAAGGGTAGTAAAATAAGAAAACAATAATAAATAGGGTAACAGGAGGCCTCTAAACATGACCAAGTCACTGCAAAGATCGAAGTGGAGCTGATCACATGTATGGAGCATTTTTAAATTCACCACAA